TAGAGCGCCATCTAGTGGAACAAAAATAAACTAAATGTTTATTTAACTTGATATTTGGTCATCCTAAGTGTCTTGATAAATCAAGAAAAGCCAACCATTTGGGTTGAATTGAAACAGAAATTGGGTTGACCAAATATCACGGAACAAGTTAAATAAACATTTTGTTCCACCAGACGACGTTCTGCCATCTCAAAATGCTCGTGTGAACGCAGTCAGGATATATTTTTTTGTTTTTAATATCCTTATCTCTTGGGTGATTTATCCTTGTCTCAATCCGATAGTCAACAAATTTATAACTGGATGAATGTAATGACGTTTCATCAAGGTCTTCTTTTTGGTTCATATAAATTCTACAAGGCCGCAGTCACCGTTCGGAGGAGATTAATTGAATCGCCGATTGCCGTGGTCCATTTGGACGAGGAAAGCGAAGACTAGAACGCGGCTGATTCCACACTAGCCTGTTCAGTGATTCGCTAACCATGACGTATGCACAAAGGAACGTGTGGCCATTGGACATGCGTCGGACCAGGTGGCTGTTGTTGGGTGCTGCGCTGCCTGGAGTATAGGAGCTCCATCTATTATTTCTTCCTGTGGTGAATCTGTATAAGACCGCTGGTCTTAATAAAGTGTGTGTTTTTTTAAATCTCCTTATATACAAGTATATACTTGTATAATATATAACTCAAAATTGCGAGAAGGTGGTATTGATGTTTCAAGTTAAAATTGTGAAATGTATTACTCAGCGTCCAGTATATATATTAGGAATTTAAAACACACACAATCCAAAAATAAATGGGTTCATTCGTTAATTAAATTATTATATACACTCATGGACAAAACTTAAGTTAGTTGTACCTTTTAGCATATATATCGACATTCAGACAATAACTCTGAAAGATATTACAGTGACCTTTATTAAAGACACACGAGATAACCAAGTGTAGATAAATTTGCCTCTGTCTCCTTCAAAAAATAGACAACTGATGTCTGATTACTTAAGTTTTGCCCATGAGTGCATTCTTTATATATATATGACGCAAAATTTCTAACGGATGGTGGTATTCATGTACAAGAAGAAGGTACCTCTTCTTTTAAAGTGAATTGAGCAATAGATCCCGGTGTAAAAGGCAAAGGTGATGCTGAATTAATGCGCTAAAACACTAGTTCAGGCAAATTCAGGCAAAATATTCTGGTGCATAAATACCATTTTCTTACAATGGATTCTAAGCTGAAAGTTAACTCTTTACCAGTTCAGACACCGTTTTGGAAAATTCAACCTATTACTTAACTTCTCTCGTTGGATATTATAAAATCTTTATTATAAAATTGATTATTTTTCTCTCAAAAATATTATAACGGAATGTTTCTTTGTACATCTTGAAGCATTACTTGACCTTGAATATAAAATGGATCATCAGACAGCTCTCTATTTCATCAAGGTGAATTATCAATATTTTATTAGAGAAATAGACATCTAGACGTATAATTAATTATAAGGTTATCCCAAAATTTCGTGTTTTTCTTAAAACGTTGTTTTTCTTATTGGCAAATATTTTTATTATGGCAAATAGATAATAATAATTATTCAAATTAAAGATACTTCAACCAGTAAATCTTGTTTACTAACCGAAGTATCTTTAATTTGAATAACTATGAATTCCGGCCAGGCAGCCTTTATCTTTACAATAGATAATAATAAATAATACAAAGACATTATACATAACGGCGAATGATATTATGGTGAATAATATTGGTATTTCAATTTTTTGTAAGTGTTTACAAACTTTTGGAGCAAACTTGTATATGATTCTAAAATCTGAAATTATCATTTATATGTATGTCATAATTTGTATATAACTGGATGTAACCCCACCACAATATGTATGCAATGTATGATCTAAAGATTTTAATAAAAGCTAGGCTTAGCGAATCTGGGAGAAAGGCCATCAGAGAAGAAACAATCATTAGCAGGTTTTCATTATCCAGGAAGCAAAAGTTATTACCCAGGAACTCATAAAACTGAGTTCAAGAACCTCTTCTTCCGGGAGCATGTTAAAACAAGACAAAGACAAAGGAATAGCTAAGATCCAATCAGAGTCCAGCAGGACTAGCTAAGAGCCAATGAGAGACCGCCACGAGAGGAGAATCCTCCAATGAGGGCACTGAAGAGTTAACGAGTTAAATCTCGGACTCAGGTTAATGAGTCAGGACCTCGGCACCATCGCAACAAGTTAGGACCTGAACCGGCCAAGGAACAAGTTAGGAGCTCGCCACCATCTGCTCATCACCCAGATAAGTCCAATGTTCAATATGTGAACAGCCTAGCCACATTAGTCAAAAACGCCAATAGTCTAAACACTTCTCTCCTTGATCTCGCTGGCCTATTTCTCAATCTAATTCTGTGTCCTGTCTCGTTATTTTCCCCTGTGAGAAAACTTTACTATTTCAGCCAAAACGACTGCGTCCACATCAACCACCAAGTAAGTCAACAGGGACTTACTGCTTACGACAACCATCAATCACTCAACAAACAACCAATCCCTTAATCAATCACCCCAAAAGTCCCGTATATTACATGTATATATGAAAAAAACAATAGAAAAAAATGAAAGATAAGTGGGTCAGGTATTGGCCAAATATCACGGAGCAAGCTAAATAAACGTTTAGTTTATTTTTGCTCCACTAGATGGCGCTCTGCCATCTAAAAAGCACATGTGCTCGTGGTCAGGAGATGCCTTCTTTATTTTTAATATGTATATATGTATGTACGTGTATATTGCATGTGCGCGTGTTGAAGGGAGGGTGAAATGATGATGGTCTAGCATCTATTTTTGACCATAAATTCATTTGAGGAAATGGGAGCTCCATTTTGACAATTTGTGGTCACTTTTAAGTAATCTATAAGTAAGGCAAAACAATATCATCTAATGTGTGGACAATTGACAATTCGAAATATCAAAATATACCGACAATTGAAGAGAAGTGTCTTATAATAACTTTATTCGCAAGCTTTCGGAAGCATGCGTCTTTCTACAGGCTTTACAATGACTATAGGGGGGCCGGTGGAAGGATGGTCTAAACTGTTGGTTTTGGACCGCTACGACCCGGGTTCAATTCCCGCATTGGACACTTTTTTCTGATTAAAATAAATTCTCCAATGGCCCCCGATTCTTGCAAAAGTCCAACCCCACCAGCGAGTGCAAGTAACCAAACGGGACGCTGGCACATTTGTAAGTGCAAAGTCGAACTGCTTTTCACATGTGTAGAGATGTGATGCACTTACAGTTAAAGCAGTCGCCTTCTTTTACCCACCATGATTATCATGGCCTGTATCACGTGTACTAGGGATAAACAAAAAAAGAAAGACTACAATTAGTACAATTCATTGTAAAGCCTGTAGAAGAACATCCGAAAGTTTGCGAATAAATTTCTTATAAGACATTCCTCTTCAATCATTGTTATATTTTGATATTTTTATTCGAAGAGTTTAATTTAGTCAATTCGAAATATATAAATGACACTTAGTCAATTTGAAAAAATAAATAGTACAAATGTGATATGGTACTGGGATAAGTTTCATGAATTAAGAAAAGAAAAAAAATGGCATCTCCTTATCGATCAACTTAAAGTTGCTGAATATCTATCGGAATAAATATCAACTATTCGTTGATTTTTAATTAATCCAGAATTGGTCAAATATCCATTCTTGATTAATTCAGTTACCTGATATGGAAATGTCATTTTTATCTTTACTTTGGTAATTGTTACAAAATATTATATGAGAAATTAAACAATGTAAAATTGATTTATTTATAATGTTTGATAAAAATGTGTAGGGGGTATAAGGTGAGCTAAACCTCCCGTAATACCTTGAGTACAGCCCTCGTCAGTTTTCTTCCATCGTGCCTGGCAACTACAGACATAATTCAGGCACAAGTAGGGCCTTAGACAGTCACCGGATAAACTGCCACAGCTTTCCCCGTACGTCGGCCCTGATAAAACACATACGTTTATATGGGATATAACCTTGTCTGTTATACAGAGTATACAAATAGTATAGGAATAGTCAAATATAAATATGAAGTATTATGACATACGTTTATATGGGATATAACCTTGTCTGTTATACAGAGTATACAAATAGTATAGGAATAGTCAAATATAAATATGAAGTATTATGACATACGTTTATATGGGATATAACCTTGTCTGTTATACAGAGTATACAAATAGTATAGGAATAGTCAAATATAAATATGAAGTATTATGACATACGTTTATATGGGATATAACCTTGTCTGTTATCCAGAGTATACAAATAGTATAGGAATAGTCAAAAATAAATATGAAGAATTATGACATACGTTTATATGGGATATAACCTTGTCTGTTATACAGAGTATACAAATAGTATAGGAATAGTCAAAAATAAACGTTCAAATATAAATATGAAGTATTATAACATACGTTTATATGGGATATAACCTTGTCTGTTATACAGAGTATACAAATAGTATAGGAATAGTCAAAAATAAACGTTCAAATATAAATATGAAGTATTATGACATACGTTTATATGGGATATAACCTTGTCTGTTATACAGAGTATACAAATAGTATAGGAATAGTCAAAAATAAACGTTCTAATATAAATATGAAGTATTATGACATACGTTTATATGGGATATAACCTTGTCTGTTATCCAGAGTATACAAATAGTATAGGAATAGTCAAAAATAAACGTTCAAATATAAATATTAAGTAATACTTATAAATGACTGCGGCGTATAATTATAAAGCTATACAACCAGTTTAACCGCATAAGTTTCTTTTTATTTATGAAAAATCATTTTAATTTCAAAGAGAAATAATTTAATATTCTAACTTTTGGATGACGTATGAAAAGGTTGAATATATGAAGAGTGATGGTCTATATATGAATGGATGACGTATGGAGGGTGAAAAATATGAAGAGTAATGGCGAACGGAAAAAAAAAGTGTCCAGGAGCGAGAATCGAACCCACAACCTTCTGCTTACCGGGCAGGTGCCTTGTCCACTAGGCTATCCTGGACGATATTTTTCCGTTCGCCATTACTCTTCATATTTTTCACCCTCCATACGTCATCCATTCATATATAGACCATCACTCTTCATATATTCAACCTTTTCATACGTCATCTAAAAGTTAGAAATATTAAATTATTTCTCTTTGAAATTAAAAATGATTTTTCATAAATAAAAAGAAACTTATGCGGTTAAACTGGTTGTATAGCTTTATAATTATACGCCGCAGTCATTCATAAGTATTATTAGTCAGTTTAAATATTAGTTACGAACGGAGAAATATCGTCCAGGATAGCCTAGTGGACATGGCACCTGCCCGGTAAGCAGAAGGTTGTGGGTTCGATTCCCGCTCCTGGACACTTTTATTTTTCCGTTCGCCATTACTCTTCATATTTTCACCCTCCATACGTCATCCATTCATATATAGACTATCACTCTTCATATATTCAACCTTTTCATACGTCATCCAAAAGTTAGAAATATTAAATTATTTCTCTTTGAAATTAAAAATGATTTTTCATAAATAAAAAGAAACTTATGCGGTTAAACTGGTTGTATAGCTTTATAAATATGAAGTATTATGACATACGTTTATATGGGATATAACCTTGTCTGTTATACAGAATATACAAATAGTATAGGAATAGTCAAAAATAAACGCTTAAATATAAATATGAAGTATTATGACATACGTTTATATGGAATATAACCTTGTCTGTTATCCAGAGTATACAAATAGTATAGGAATAGTCAAATATAAACGTTCAAATATAAATATGAAGTATTATATGACAGGTTACCTCCGTTTATATGGGATATAAACCTTGTCTGTTATCCAAAGTATACAAATAGTATAGGAATAGTCAAATATAAATATGAAGTATTATATGACAGGTTACCTCCGTTTATATGGGATATAACCTTGTCTGCTATCCAGAGTATGCAAATAGTATATCTAAAGTGATATAATTTGAAAAATGAAAATTTAGTAATGAAACATAGATTATTATGATGGTGATATTATATAGAATAGTAATAATAATACATTAATTAGAATCCTCATGACTACTAATTAGAGTAATAATGAAATAGTTATAATAATTAACATTTGTTGTAATAAAATTCGCCTGGAAAACATCCATTAGAATAGAAGCTGGGCCATTCAATCAATATATAATCTTTGTTCCTTGTTCCAAAATCACTTTATTAGGTACCGCTCAAAAATAGCAACCTAGTTTATGATATTTGCAACAATGAATATTAAGTGAAGGTTATTCACATATTAAAACAAAGTGTACAATGCAGGTTTAGATCCCGGTTCATGGCTGTCGGGAATCGAGGGTTTTACCCACTCGTCCACCGACTTTTTTCAATATATGATAATTATTATCATTTTATATATAACTCCCCAAAATATATGTAAATGGTTTTCTTATTGTCTAATTTTAGTCCTTTAAAAACTTATATGTTAAAATATATATTCATCATACATACAAAATTTTCCAATGGTGTATTCAGTAGTTTTGACACGGAGAAGAATAACAAACATGAATTTATATAATGAATAAAAGATTCAGTAGGGAGTGGATATTTTCCCTGAAAATATTGTTTTATTAAATGTTCGTTAGGCAAACTTTCACTTGCGTAAAAACCGGGCGAAGCCGGGTACATTCGCTAGTCATTTACAAATATGAATATTGGAATAATACACATATTTGAATAAATTTTTATCGATCAATATTTTTATTCAATAAAATATTTTTTGTACCCTGACTTTTGAACCTTTGTGTATTTTAAGATCAATTATGCATATTTAGTTATAATGTAATATAAAAATTTACATGGATATAGAAATAAGAAGGAGTTACTATCATAATTTCAACACCCGAATATGGAAGCTAGCCATATAAAGGAATAAGTTGAATGTTTTGATCCAGAAAATGATTATGGTGAATTCAATCGATTGCTTTTGTTAAACACTCAATCCTGGCGAATGTGTCAGATAAGGCTATCTCAATGGTGAGAGAAACCACAGTTTGACCTATTGCTTTAGTGATTTCATGGACAGGAGTGCCACATTCGCAATAAAAATACCAAATGTCAATTCAGACTAACTAAACTCCTAATTGTGCGTAGGCTGGATTCCTGACGCGTACAGAAATTGCCAACAATCCTGCAACAATATCAATTCAGATCTTTCCCACCGCCAATGTGTAAGGCATTATCTTCCTGGTGATTAGATAGGGGTATTTCTGAGTTCTTGTTCTTTCAGCTCTCCCTTCCATAAATCATTACCAAAAAGAACACTTCAAACATAGCGTGGTATTACATGGCTTCAAGATAAAACACTAGAGGGTGGAACTGAGGATTGTTTAAACATTACAAGCGCTAAAACTGCCTTCTGAGTAGTTAAAATCAAACCGCTAGGAGAGTTCACAACTGATGATTCACTACTCCCTTCCAATATTTATTTCATCTTTCAATAGTGTGAGAGTATGATTGTAGCAATTATTTTTTTTTAAGAATCATAAATTATCACAAAATTTAGCATAAAATTTTCTTGGCCTTGAAGTTATAAACATATTCTAAAGGTAGATGAACCTTCTATTAGGTTAACAGAATATGGATGCAGAAGGCAAGGGGAAACACTATTGCCTTATTCCCCCCATGAAAATCCTAATTACAAATTTTAAGGATAGATGGAAATTGAGTTTATAAAAAAAATAAAACCCTAAATAAATTGACCAACTAGACTCAAAGCAACCTTGCTTTAGTCAATGAAGTTCTTGGATAAGCCTAATTAAGGAAGCACACCAGGCTTAGGATTGATTCTCCTGAAATATATATATACAGTTAAAAGGTCTATAGAGTCTATAGTCTTGGGACTCACCAAAATAGGGTCCTATAGAGAGGGGGTGCTATAGACAGGTCACTTTTAATGTGAATCGCATCGTACTACGTATTCAAAATCGGGCGCTTTAGAGAGGGAGGCGCTATTTAGAGGGGGCGCTATAGAGAGGTTTAACTGTAAATATATATAATTATCATTAATAATAATGGTTATGATATATTCACATATCTAGTCGCAGATAAATGGCGCTGTGTGTAATTTGTGCTCTAATACTAAGGTCTATCCCAGCGTTGAAACGATGGTGTGTAGGTTTGATAAAATTTATCTGATAAAATAATTCTTTCGTCACATGATGTTATTATCATGGCGAAAGACAAATATTAAAAACTAGTTATGCAAATTTCTCAGTGTCGCGTATTGATACTTGTATATGAGTTACACCAATTCGAGTTCAATGCTTTTCTTTTTTTTTACTATCGTGTTTGCTTTCTGGGAAATTTTCCCTTTTTTCTATTATGATAGAACTAATAGTAAGAAAAAGGTTATATACACAATTATTACGTTTATATTTTCTCTATCTTAAAAACACAAAATCATCAATGCCATCTGAAAGCTACAAGTATATGATGCATCATGCACTTACCTTGATTGCAGGTTTGAGTACCATCTTTGCATACGCATTTACTCCCATTGCATTTCATGGTAGTATAGCAGTCCATGTCCCAGAAGCAATGCCGACCCAGTTTTCCATCTCCTACACAAACGCACTTTTAAAAAATAATTTCAAAATTTAAAATATACTTCTCTCTCTCTCTCTCTCTCTCTCTTTCTAAAATATATAATTCGTTCAAAAGAGGCTGGGACAAATATAAGGGTCAGTTCAAAAGTTTTTGCAATCACTTATTTTTATTAAAGGTGCAACTTTTAAATTTTCAGAATTTCTCAAAGTATTCACCCTTAGCACCTATGCAAGATTTCATCCGTGAAAACCAATTATCGAAGCACTTACACCAGTCATCTTCGGGGATGGAATTTACGGCATTGATAAAGGCTTGCAGTGCTTCATCATCAGTGTCAAATTTTATCCCTTTCAACAATAACTTAACTTTTGGAAATAAAAAAAGACACAAGGTGCTTGTATAATAGAGAGAGTGTTCAAAGAGAATATTCTAAAATCTCTCACCAAATCCCAGGCCATGGCAATAAGCGGCTAAACAGAGTGGAAGTTTATGAAATCGCTACCTTCTTTCAGTGTTCTTATATGTGAATCACTTAACCAACTCTTCGGAATTCTGTTTATTCGAAGTATAAGAATTGATTCTTTCAGAAGTAAGAGTGTGTACGAGAACCGAAGAACCTTGAATATGCGTATGATTTATTTATTTATTTTATTCAAAGGCAATTAGAAAATTTAAAAAGATTTGTGTTCGACCGAAGTACCACATAAATCTCATATATAGATGTATATATACAATTTAAAATCAAAGTTACATAATATTGTCAAGAGGCTTTGCGGCTCCAATCACGAGAGTCCCCATGGGACGCCTGTCAATCATCCTTGGACTCCGGGAGTGGGGGCCACGGGTGTGAGGGGTTCTCGGAATCTGATCGGGGGGTGGCTGACGACGCTGATTAGGATTATCTTTAACTTTGGGTAAGTTGTATTATTTTCTGACTCTCTCTCTCCCTATAAATACCTCTTGTAAATAATTTTATTGAAGAGCTAGAAGGTAAATACCCCTTATAATAAATTAATTATTCCCAAACTCGCCCTTTTTTTATTTATCTCCGCGACTATTTATAAGCATATAAATATTTTTTAAAATAATAATATACCTTTTACACAATATATAATAATAATATACATGTGGTGATGTGTTTAACTTGTAAGATGACTGTAGTGTGGTATGTTTGGTTGTCTTGTCGTGGTAGGGAAGTTGGTTAGATGCAGCCGTGGTGACCACAATGGTCAGAGTGGTTTCAGACGTGATTGGGATAACACAAAAGGACGAGGCATGTTGGATGTCACCTCAGAGAGCGGGAGGCCGGCGCCGATTAAGGAAGGTCTGATCTATTTCAGAGCCAGAGGGGAACTGTCTGTAATCCGACCATGTTTTCGGACTGACTGTGTAATAGGAGACCTTTCTCCTGTCTGG